GTTTTAAATTTTTATAAAGTAACAGTTTACTATTTTCATCATAACTATTTATTCTATTTTCAAACATATTCAAAAAATGTTCTTTAAATTCATTTTTAATCAAGGGCTGAAAAGACTTTATTTCATTAAAGTCCCTACAGTTATTAACTTTATCTAAACGGTCTTGGTTGGGTGAAATATTCTTTGCATATGTATACCAAGAATAAGTACAATGGGAGACAAGCAGTTTTTTATAATAATATGCTTCTTTAAGTAAAGGATTTATATTTTTTAGAATTCAGTCTTTCTAGGTAAAATAGAGACTGTAAAAAAATAAAATGTTCAAGGGGGAGTCTTCCTAGTTCTGCTCGGACTACTATAGTCGATGCGGTTTTTTTGGTGCCCAGCAAAAATTTACAAAAATTAATGTGAACCTTTTCGAAAGGAGTTTTATCAATAAATGAAATACTCTTTGATCAAAGTTTTTATTATTTCCGTCAGCTCTTATCTTAGCTCTGTATCGTGTTATATAGCTATCCATAGAGGATATCTCCGAGTTATAAGTTATAACTGGTTGAACTAATTTATCAAAAAGATTACTAGAAATTTCTATTGGGAGATTTCCCAATGAAGCTACCTTGGTTTTAACCGAAAACATGACTTTTCTTGCTTTTTTCGCTAGGTCTTCTAAACTTGAAATAAGGTTACCATTGCTCTTTATAAGAATTCCTAGAAATTTATATTCTAATACATTTTTTATCATATTACCATTGTAGTTAAGAAATGAAACTACACTTTTGGCACAATGTGGCTGTAAAATCATGGTTTTAGTTTTATTTATATTTAGAGTAAGTTGCCAATTTTCACAGAAACTACTAAACTTATTTATACTGTTCTGTAGACCTTCTTTACTATCTGATATCAAAGTAGATCATCTGCAAAAGATAGTGATCCAAGGGTTGAGTCTACTAGTTTTGGTAGCATGGAGTCTTCAGCACAGAAGATATTATCTAGGTCATTTATAAAGATATTAAAAAAGTGGGACTAATGGAGTCCCCCTGTTTTACTCTTCGAAAGGGTTCAAAGAAATTGGAACAAGTATTGTTCCATTTCAAGGAAGTTTCAGTTTTCAAATACTGGTTCTTATAATATTAAATATATTTTTGCCCACTCCAATTTTTGCTAATTTATACAGTAAACCTCTTCTCCACACTGAGTCAAATGCCTTTTGAAATTCAAAAAAACAAATGAGCTACGTCGGATAGAAATCGACCTTATGCAAATGAATATCAATACATTTGTTAACTTATTTCGGGTTGAAAAAATCTTTATGCAAACTCTGTAACTGTTTGAAAATTGAGTCGATACAGGAACCCTACAAAATAGACCAAAATTCATCTTTTATTTCGTATTTGAATTTTCCAAAATTAATCAAAGTCTTATAAATGAACATGTATACGTGCACTTACATCAGGTCGATTTCTATCCGACGCAGCTCAAATATATAACTTACTATTATTCTTATGTAATTACTTATTTATCAATGCCTTTAATATAAAGAGACTATCAGTTGTCCTGTGGTTTTCTCTGAAACCAAACTGTGTTTTTGTGTATTTATCTTTCATTAGTGTTTTTAATCTCTCATTAAGTACTGCACTAAATATTTTTGATATGCAAGTAAAGAGAGAAAGCCCTCTATAATTTGATGGATCTGACTTGCTACCAGATTTATGTATCAAAGTCATGTGGGATAGTGTCCAGTTTTTAAAATAAGATTAAATAAGTTTGCTAAAGAGTTTAATGTGAGCATACTACTATGTGTAAATATTTCATTTAAGATGCAATCTGGTCCACTTGCTTTACCTTGCTTTAATTTATTCAAAATATGTTTTATTTGTTTTATTATTATAGGTTTATCAGTTACTTCATTAGAATATAGATTATTTTCAATGTTTTGTAGTTCATTAATGATATTATTTTCGAAATGACAAATTACTTTATTACATTTTCCTTGGTCCTGCACATGTTTAATTGTTTTATCTAATATCAAAAGTGAAAAGAGAAAGCAAGGGAGCTACCAGGAAGATTCGGCCCACAAAATATTATTATACAGTTAAAACGTTTATTTTTTGTTTTTAATCTATGACAAGAAATCCATTATAGATCATTATACTTCCATCATTAGGCCTAGAAAATCGTCATTATGCTTATCTATCTATTTCTATTTATATTCAAGTCTATATTGGGTCACATAGATATAAGAAGATGTGGTATGAGTGCCAATGAGACAACTCTCCATCCAAGTCACAATTTGTAAAAGTAAACCATTATAGGTCAAAGTACGGCCTTCAACACGGAGCCTTGGCTCAGACCGAACAGCAAGCTATAAAGGGCCACATGACCATTTGCAGCTTTGGTGTCATCTCGATGCTTAATTAGATCACATCTAGTCCTAACTGAAATACGAACTAAATTTTGCTTCTCTATTTCGATTTCATATATTCTTATTGTTTAAGATGGAATTATTGTAATTTTGCTAAAAACTTTAGTTTGTTTAAATAAAAGAGTCCGAAGGGAATTTGGTGCCAATAAATACTACACCACACACCCCTTCTAATCAAAATACTAATCAACTACCAGTAAATTATAAATAGCGACTCTGTGTTGATAGTAAAATTTATCTACAACGATTCTACCTCAGCCAATATAAACCTGATTCCTACATTTGTACTTTTAACTAATATGTTTATCGTCATGGATAGCTCTGTTTTAATAGAACAATGTGGTATCCTACTAGCTACGACGACACACTTCGCACTTGACAAGCTACTACTTACTACCTGTACAAGTGTGTTTACAACAGGCCGCACCCTGTCCTTTATTGCATTGATGAGATTTTCAATCTGAGACTACAATCTGTAAATTTCACCCATCAGGACTTAATTAAAGAACTGTTGGTCTTTTCCTTCGTAGATTAATGACATTGAAGAAAAACTCTCGCTTGCTTCTGTTTGAATCCCAGGGCTATACTATCATCGAAAAACGGGGTATTTCCATAAAGTTACCTTGATTGCTTAAATTAGCGTTTCTCTTCAACATCCCAATACATTTAACCTGACCTAAGATTTACCCATCTAACATAATTATACTTGTTATTTTCTATGCTTAATGTCTTTGTATTAAGATGATATGTAAACAAAGGGTTCCTTTCGAACAGTTACTAATGTAATCGATCAAACTTATGTAGCAAAACATCAGCTATCTTCACTCTAAATAACTTTGGGATAAGCTTGTTTTGGAACAGGAAACACATTGTATAGACATGCAGAGTCGTCATAAATAGCGAAACGCCATGAATTTTGCTTTTTTTTTCGTCACAATTACCGAAAAAATACACATAGGTATGGGCTTTTTGGTGCTAAGCACATGACATAGGTGAAATCTCCTTGTTCTTACTGTGCTATAATTTCGATAATGCACAGCTAAGGTGAGCATTAAATACCTCAGATATACTACACAGTTCAAAAATATTCTTACCTTTAGGGACGGTCTAGAATTTGTCAAAGGGCGCGTAATTCCATAAAAAGAAAATAGGAAGAAATACCGGCGAGTGTAGCGACCCTAAAAACAATTTTGACGATTTTATGCTTAAAAATGATATACATGACCAATCAAAGGGTGTGCGGCCTCTTCGCATTCCCCTTTTTTTTTAAATCCGCCACTGACCTTGAAGTTACGACATAAACAACTTTGTACAAACTTTGCCATTTCAAAATATGAAATAGAAAGTGTTTCTTATTCCTTGGAACATTTTATGATATTTTTATGTTGTGTACAGTGTAAATCTTAAATTAAGTGTTTCAAAGTCAAACAAGATAATATATTTTTATTGTAATTTCTGCCAAAAAAGAAATGTAAGTAAGAATATTAAAGCAAATGAAATACGATTTGGATTATTTTTGTGCTCAATGGAATTTATTACGACTTTTAAAATATTTTTTCCTTTTTAGTGACTGTTTTGGGATCGAATTTAATGAGGTTCACATTTAAGTATGTGCCAAAACAGGGGGGGGGGGAGGGGGGGGAGAAGAATGCCTCACGAGTTTTTCCGGCCATTTTAACTCAAATTCGGAACATTAATATTTTAATCTTTATTAGTAGAGTACAAACAGTACTAGACCCAAGACCTTAACCGATTTCAAAATATCATACAAAAGTATATAAAAACAGTATCTAGAGAAAAGGATTAGTGTCCAACGAATTAACTTGTTATCGCAAAGGTAGTTTCCAATACGACAAACATTTTAACAATTGAATTAATTAATCACATAGAAAGGTAAAAGGTTAGATAGACGTATACTATAGCACTTAAAATATATTGTCTGAATTTGATTTATTTCTAATTCAAATCTTCTGGGTTATAATACCATGTCAATTAATTGCTACTACTATTTGATTTATTGTAATTTTCTCAAAAGCCAACAATAGTTCTGATCAAACCTCTCCCTTCGATCATTTTTCTTAAAAATGAATAAGATTGCCAAAACAAATCAAAACACAAATAGTCTCGAAAGATCAACACTTCAATTGTAAGGATATTTAAATCAGTGAAAATCGTTTGAAATATATTGAGGGATTCTTCAATGATCAGATTGATGGTTGTTTTCTAGTTTAAAAAACAATGAATTTATAGCAATTATTCATAATACAATGTATGTCAGAGATATTTAATATTATATGTAAATAGGTAATATCGAATCGTAAAATCTGGATGAAGTTGACGGCGAGACAACACAGTCAAAAGTAACACATGAAGTTGTGTATTGTCTAGTAATTGAGGGGAATTTCGAACAAGAAAAAAATAACAAAGAAGCAAAACAATTTACGTTCAATTAATTTTAATAGGATTGTATTTTTAAAACAAATAACCTAGATTTCATATGACGTTCCTTATTCCCTATTTATCTGAGACCTATTGTGTCATTGTATCAAAAACTATTTAAACTACTAAAATGACATACCTGAATTAGCAGTGTTTTGGCCTGACGTTTGTCTAATTAGACACAGGAAACAGTAACAGACAACACACCCGAGAGTATAAAGTATTGTTCTTTTCATTATTGTACCGTAGTATCAAAAAGTAGTTGATATCGTATTGTCACGCTAGGTCTCTTCAGTTACAAACTAAAATTATGTATGTTATTGAAATATTTAAATCGTTTGTTCATTAGTGCATTCAGTCATAACAATTTAACACTTATCTAATAAGTGCGAAAAAAGGCCTAATGGGGGGGAAACACACAAGTGACAATAGGGGTAACTAATTATCACACAATTATTGTGAAATAAACGCATTTGTTTTCCTGCATAGGTAACAGGTAAAACCCACTTTTTATCTGGCTTGAACATTCTTGTGTATTCATCCCTGATGAGTCCTCATCTTTGGATGCTTTTGAATGTGATCAGTTTGCTGTTATTTCTTCTGTAATACTGGTCAAAATCTTGGATTTCACTTTAGGTTGATATACACTATAAACGGAACATTCAACTCTATATCTATGAGCCGCCATCTTGGAAAGTTTTCTAGCTAAATCATGAAGTCAGTACGATTTGCGATAATAATTTAATTCTAATTTTAGGAATAATGAGTGCAAAATCATTTACCACATTCTTGAACGATTTTTTCTTTTCGGCAATATACATGATATACCAAGATAAACAATGTTAATTATCACGAATCATATGAATCGTCTTTTATCAGGAAAGGTGATTTTTGAACTATTGAAGATTTACTATTACAAATTAACTAGGTTCACACTGTTTTGCTAAATATCAAAAAACAAATAAGGGTGCACCCTTATTTTATTGGTCATGTGATTCTTTATTGCCCCCCCCCCCCCCCCCCCATTATGCATATTCCGGACGAGAACATGTTAATTTGCGCACATTGCCTCTAGACTCTGGTATCTAGGGTATACAAGACATAATCTGGACATCACACATGGAGTCCAGAAGTGAGGAGCTTCTCTTGAAGATGCAGCATTTATCCCACATGCCATGGACGAAAGTGACAGTGAGCAGAGTGCAGTTGAAGAATAGAATATTAATTTAATCATTGTTAGGTAGCGGTCACATTGACGTTTATCTCAGTACTCCTCTTGCTCATCTTTTTGAAACCTATTTGTTTATATCATACTTTTTGCAACTAAGCAAATTTTTTGAAAACTCTTAAAACATGTTTACCGGTTTATAACATATCCATGAGAAATAGTTCACATTTCATTTCACTTTAAAGAAAACAAACATTGTGGAGAGTTGTCTCATTGGCAATTATACCACATCTCTTTTATATATATAGACGAAAATAATTGATCTTGTATATTAATTATAGTTATTGATAATAATTACTTGAATGGACGCAGCTTACATACACTTATATCGTTACAATCAAAGCCAAATAAAAAAAAACTGATATTCATGGATATCTATTAGTTTTAAAATACATCCATATGGACACGTCATTCGGTATCTGGTTTAAAGTTGTCTTCTTTGCAATAATATCACATCTTCTTTTTTTTCATACGGATTGAGACATGAATCTGTTTAATTTGACCAAATGATAATAAAAGTAATAAGAAAGTACACTCGAACTTTATTCGAGATAAGAATGATAGTCGTATGTGGAATACCGGAACACTTTAACCAAGAGCAAGACTACTACAAGATAAAAGCTAGTTAAGAATAAATTGACGATTGTGAAAACCTTATAAAAGAATTTCAGTTTAAAACTTAAAGGGGCATTAGCTGTCAAATTCATGTTTACCGATTTGACTCAAACTCTCATATTCGACTTATAACATACTAAAACGTATATTCAAATTAAAAAAAGTGTAAAATAAACAATTTACGATGCATAGACTCGATAGTATGTATCAGCATTTCTTGTGTATTTTAGTCTAGACGCCATCTAATTAACCATCAAGGCGACCTTCTGAAGACCGCCGACGGTCATCTTACCCGATTTAAACATAAACAAAGATATAAATAGATAGCAAACTCGTGCAATTGGATTTTTCTAGGTCTGTTTCATTTGAAATTATAGGTTAAATCAATATGTTAATAATCGTTTTTACCTGTATAAGAATGAGTTTTTGTAGATCGAATCAGTCAACCAAATGGTTTACCCTTGTTTCACTTCCAATTCTTTTATTTTTAATACCTGAACACGTCTAGTTCATGCGTAACCCATCTCTAGCTAGGGGGTTCAATTGAAATTCACATGAATATGGATTTAATGAGGTCGAATTATCCACTTGCAAGTGAATAATTCATAAGCGATGTTTCTTTGCTTATTTTGACAGAACTGAACCAGACTGGCTGCTAAAAGCGAATTATTATTTCACTATTTCACTTTCATTAATGATTGAACAAAAAAAAATCTTTTTTGTTTATATCTCGTAGCTAATGCCCCTTTAACATGTTTAACGAGAACACGAATCATAAAATAATAAAAGTATTTGTTCTTTGAAAACGTAATTGATAGAAACATGCAAAAGTAGGATAGATTCAATTGAATATAGCTAAATCTCTAAATGAAATCGTCCACAATGGACAAATGAGAATGAGTATTCTGTCAAATTTTTGAGTTTTTAAAACTAGGCAGTGGCTATTTTGCCGCCGTCGGTAAAATAGAAAATATGCTATGTTGTCGTCTTTAATTTAAATATCTTAATCAAAACAAGCAAAATAGCATATTTCGATAGCAATGACTATTTTGTCGGCGCCGGCAATACAGTGAATTTGACGTGACTAGAATTTCTCCAACATCGGAGATGAATAACATTGTTTTACAATCCAAATGATTTAGGCCCGTTTCTGATGGCAAAGGTTCCGTACTGGGAAGTTGTTGTAAATCAATACACGAGACTGGATAAATGAACGTTCACATACTTTATTTTTCCATCCAACATATATACAATCACAGTTCATAAAGTATATTTACAAAATAGTAATCATGGCAACATACATTAACCCGCCGCTACTCGCAGATCGAGAGCGGGGCGAACCGATGCGTCACATAGTTCTCTCTCTTTTCTCTACCTCTCTTTGGTTTCAAAATTAACCTTTATAAAACATGATCATAGAAGCGTTTTGACCAATGAAAATAGAAAAAGGTACTTCTAAACAAATAGTTTCCAAACAATGAAATATATCAAAAGCAGATTAAATTAAGAATTAGTGTTAATTGACATTATTCACTCTATATAAAGTTCGGGTGTTGACAAATAAATTACATTGATGACCATTGTTGTCAAAAAGTATTCTCACGACATAATCTTAATCTTAATCCATAAATATTTCCATGTAACGCTAAAACGGCTTATAAATGTCTTTTGTGAAAATATTTGAAAAATAGTTCAAAACCTTGTTTCCCTAACAAAATGCACTCCTTCCGTAATAAAAATATTGAAACTTAATTACTCATAAGAAATAATGACTTTTGATACCAAACACGACATAAAAAGATGAAAATGCTAAAATACACAATTTCACGCATTTTTACAACATGACAACTCTCCCAACATCCCTCTAGCTTCGGACCCCGAAGCTGTATACATTTTGACATCAACATCTACATTTGACATAAACTTTTCTCAATTTTTATAATCTTGCATATTAATTTTGAAAAAAAAAAATATATCATGCGGACGAACCTCTACTTCGTAAACGTAATTGAGAACCATTTACACGAAAATAAAAACCAAGTAATATACAAAAATAAAACATCGTCTATTTAATGCTAGGTTTTGGTCCGTTGAGGTTCGAAATTCATCTAAGGCAGGCCCCTATAACCTCCTTAAAATTTCAACCCGGACAGAATACCGTTCGCACTTTCAATAGAACAATATCTTGGTCAAAGTTATCAGAATGCCTTCCTTAGCTTTGGATAACCTGTCAATTGCCTTAATTAGCTTTGTGACAAATACCAACGATATCCAGTTTTCTGTTTTCGTAGATTACAAGGTGCGTGATCATGGGTTTTAAATCGCTCGCCTTCATGAAGTAAAAAAAATTGCTTAAAATATTACACATTTATATTAATTTTGACTGAGCTTATACAAAATTTCTAGTAGTTGATCAGACTACGTTTAGCACTATAAACATCAAGAAAAAAGAAACAATAGACCGGCTATTGGACTTCAACTAGATACGAAATCGTTCAATTAAAAGCAATAAAATATGCAAGTGTGAAAAAAAAATGTTAAATATAAAGCAAATGTAATATAAATTCAAACTGAAGTTCAATACAAGTGTAAGTAATTTCCAATAGTATCTCATTTCACAATTAAAATCGAACCGTTTTCTCTTCACACGGCACATCACATCAATGGTAGAATCAAGAATTAGTGTTAATTGACATTATTCACTCTATATAAAGTTCGGGTGTTGACAAATAAATTACATTGATGACCATTGTTGTCAAAAAGTATTCTCACGACATAATCTTAATCTTAATCCATAAATATTTCCATGTAACGCTAAAACGGCTTATAAATGTCTTTTATGAAAATATTTGAAAAATAGTTCAAAACCTTGTTTCCCTAACAAAATGCACTCCTTCCGTAATAAAAATATTGAAACTTAATTACTCATAAGAAATAATGACTTTTGATACCAAACACGACATAAAAAGATGAAAATGCTAAAATGCACAATTTCACGCATTTTTACAACATGACAAATTTGTTATTTTGCCGCTTCTTTGTAAAGAGTGAATTTTAATTATTTACTTGTGAAAAACACTACGAAAATGTGCATTGTTAACATAAAAGAATCAAATTATTATTCGACATATAGTTGAATAAGATAAATGTCACAATATTTGAGATAAAATCGTTTAAAAACATTTATGAGTCCAAGTGAAAATAAGAATTTGTAAAAAGGAATAAAAATAAAAACTATTGAGCATCCATTTGTAGCAATGAAATCATATCAAAACATGTAGTTGAAATTACTTCTCAAATCAGTCTAATGCTACATGTATGCATAAGAATAAGATCTCAATTTTTAAACTATGCTGTAAAAAAAAAATGAAAGACAAAATCTCATAGCATAACGAATTGATAAAAACATTATACAGTCTAAAAAAATCAATCACATAGCTTCAAAATCAAAAATGTTTAGAT